ACAAAAGGGAAAGAGATCCTGAAAAATGTAAATGCAGATCAGGGCTCTCTCCACATTCCTTACACAATTTTTATGCCTTTACATGGAAATCTTGCAGGGCAAGGTGGATGCTATTGGTCCAAATATGGAATTCTCATTGGAGCACAGTTTTGCTTACACTTAGAATAACATGGAGTTAAAGCTTTTTAATAAAGGTTTACTGGCAAAGATGGTTATCTGAGAACTAAGTTGAAATGCTTGAAGGAGGTGGTGTTGTCACTCTAGAATATCCTTGCCTGAAGATGTAATTATAGTGGCATGAAGTTTTGGAATGGATTAATCTAAATGAGAAGAACACCCTGCATGTTCTTAACTATGAATTTTCCCTAGAAATTGTTTTTACAGTTACTATGGTCAGTCTCCCTGTCTAGAATAAAGACTTTAGAGTTCCTCTGATAAGAGAGTTCTTGTGGCAAAAGAACAAAGAAGTTTGTGTGTCTCCTTCTGCTGAGTTTTTTGTCATACAAGACAATTTTTCCATTTCTTTTATGGAAAAAGGCAAAGGCCTTTGAGATCTCTGCTGTTGCTCTCTCTAAGAAGTTGGCACTGAAACTGCAGTGGCTGGAGGGCATCCTGTTAGCAGTGGAGTATTGGATATTTTAACAGCATCCTGGTAAAATACTCTGAGGGGACACTTAGGGAATGGCAGCAAGGCTTCATAGCTCTGTTTAAAAATCATCCTGCAGTGAGGCAAGAGTGTGAGACCCTGTAATCCCATTTGTGTTATGGCAGGAAGCTGCTGCTCCCACTCACAATTTGGCTTTTGATAGTTATTTTGCTAATGTTGACATCAGCCTCTCAGGAATTAGATGTTAATGCCCGTTTGTCACCAAAATTCAGTGGAAATGAACTCCCATTGCTCCCCAGATGTGATTAAGGGTTCAGTGAACTTTTCTTCCTTCTTCCAGGTTATAAAACCCTTTTGAAAGGAATTTCAGGGAAGTTCAGCAGTGGAGAGCTCGTTGCAATTATGGGACCTTCAGGAGCTGGGAAGTCAACGCTTATGAATATTCTGGCAGGATACAGGTCAGTACCAATGAAAATCCCAAGTTAAGATAAAATCACCGAGGCTGAGGGCTCCTTGGAGACAACAGAAGAAGAAATTTTGTCTTAGAGTTTGTCAAAAACAGGCACTTCAAAGATTTTGAATGAGATTCTTTTTGCTTATCTTTTTTCCTATGTGTCCTGTTTTGGTCACTTGGGACTTATCTCTTAACAGGTCTGATCCAAAAATAAGAATCAATTTAAAATCCAAAAAGCACACATATAAAGAAAATCTCCTTTTTTGGCTGTGTAACAAATCTGACTCAGTGTCTTGTGTTTGTGATGTTTTTTAAATCACAAAAACACTTGAAAAATCTATTCTTTTTAGTCACCAGTTCATAATGTTGATGTCTTTCTCACCAAAATGCAGTGATTTGGTTTCATTCTTTTAAATCCCCTCTTGTATTATTGTACAAGGTGTCTCTGTCTTGTCGTTTGGGGCATGAGGAACAGGATAGAGAAACCTAAAAAAAACCCAGCTTTAATTTCTTGATAATTTTTCAGATTTATATATGACAGCACACACTTTGAGTAAAATTTTCAGTGTCATGGCATGAGGCTTTATATGATAGAGAGCGTAATCAGGAAATAATTTTGTTTCTATCCAGTCTACCAAATTTATTTCATAGTGACAATAACTTCCACGAGCTGAGTCATTTTGGCAGCACAAGTGATGGTGAGATTCACCTCTGGTCGTTGTGGTTTGGTTTCAGAGAGACGGGGATGAAAGGAGAAATCCTCATCAACGGGCAGCCCCGCGACCTGCGCTCCTTCCGCAAGGTCTCCTGCTACATCATGCAGGATGACATGCTCCTTCCTCACCTCACTGTCCAGGAAGCTATGATGGTGAGCTTTGTTCCTTGCCCTAACTCATCTGAGCAGGAGAAAATGGAGAATGGTTTGTGTCGTGCCCTTGGTCCTGCCCCTGCCAGTGCCACAAGATTTTATCCCTGTCTGATCCCGCTCAATGCAAGTTCTTGGAATTTGATGATGCCTTGAATTCCATTTCAGGCTCATCCTTCTAGGGATTCTTTGGCTTTATAATTTCCAGTTTGTGCCCAGCACTGTGATTTGGAAGGAGAGCAAAGTGTCTCCTCCTTAGATCTCCCAGAGAATAGAACCTGAAATTCATCACAAATGAGCCTTGGTAGGGACCATCTGTTTGCTTGGGTGGTGGATGAGTAACCTCATCTCTCTCTCTCCCCATCTTTCATGTTCTGACTGAAAATTGGTATTTACACTTCAGTGTGATCTCTCTGCCACTTCTACTATTTTGTGCCTTTTAAAAAATAAAGGCATTTTATAAAATCTCTTTCATTTCTTTATGGGAAAAAAACAGGAACAGAATAAATCCAGGGTTTACAGGCAGTGTTAATTCTTCTCATTGTTTTGCATTGCATCAGCAAGTTTATGAATTGCCAACTTGACCAGTTAGTCTGGAAGTATCTGTAGCTCAGCTTGAGAAATGGGCCAGTTTTTCTCAGAAATTGTTATCAAAATAAGGCTTAGGTTGCTCACACTGTCCCAGATGAATTCAAAAATTTTAAGGCCAGAATAAATCATTCCAGTTTTTATGTGGCTAATTTTCTGCAAAGGCTCTTTTCTGTGGAAAAGGTTTTCTTCCCTTTTGTTTACTTGAGTGTTTTCATCAGAATCCCACGGGACCACTTTTGCAGAATTTGGCCCAGATTATAGTTGCTGTCAAAAATTAATCAATCAAGGCCGTGACAAAAAATAATTGCCTAACATTTTAATTGCTTTGAATAAAGGTTAATCATGATGTTTCATGGAGCTGCCTTTCAGGACAGCAGATGACATCTTTCACAAGATTATTTATTTCTGTGCTCACTTGTTTGCATGCTGGAGAATGGCAGAGTTCAGTTAACAGTGTGAATGAACCAAAAAAAAACTGTTTCTAGCATTACCTGGGAGGTTTTTGGATGTGCAAAATATGTCACTCTCCCATCCTCCTGTAAAGCTCTTTGACTTGAAGAATGGCCTTTTTTTTTTTAAATACACTTTCTGTCAGGTGCTTTGCCCAAGTCAGATTAGACTCAGTTATTTGCTGCACAGAAAAATGTGATACTTGTGACTGGAACTTTGTAGTTCAAGTTCAGATTTTCTGACTGGGCTGAAAGGAGTTGTTTAAGTGGTACCTTGGAATGCTGTGCCTGAGACGTCTGCTCTGAGTGGTGGTTGTGCTTCAGACCAGCTCAAAATCAAATTCCACTGTTTTGCATTCCAGGTATCTGCTCATCTGAAACTTCAAGAGAAAGATGAAGGGAGGAGAGAAATGGTATGTACACTGCCCATCAAACTAGAATTTGGGGGATGCCAAGAAGTGAGCTCTGTAAAGCAGACATTTTTTTATCTAATACTGAACTGTTCTGGACTTGCAATGACAGAATAATTCATATCCTCTGGCCTGACATGTTCACTGCAGTCTCCATGAAAGCTGCTTTCAGTACAAGACTGGAAAATTGTAAAAGGTTTACAGAAACAAATTCACAGGTTCTGCAGGATTCCTGTTAATGAACCTTAGCACCTTGCATTCTCTTGTGTGCATGTCTGAGGGCTCAGGCATCTCATGTGGGGTGAGATAAATCACCCAGCTGGACCTGCACTAGAAACTGTGCTCCTCTCACCCATCCATGGGGAAAAGCACAACTTCTTCTGAAATATGAAAACTGTGGCAACTTCCTAGGTAGATCAGATGGTTTTTTGACTGTCCTTTGTCTGTGTTTATTTACAAATTGGAACAATGGGCATTTCTTCAGACTCAAAAGAATCCTTAAAAATCAGAAAGTGAAACTTACAGGAATCAACTTGTTGTGTAGAAAACAAACAGGTTGTTTTCCTATTGGAAGATGAATTTTTATAGAAACAGCTGTTAACTTAGTTGTGCTTTGGAAGCCTTGGTTCATTTACACTTTAGTGAAGTTAGGCCAAGCAAGTTAATTCACTTGTTCACACTGTCACTGTAATTACAAAGCAGCTTTTTGAGTTAAAAACTGTGGTGCTGTGTTTATCCAACACATGTTAAAAGAATTTTCTAGTTACTGTTACTGGCCTGGGCAGGAGAAGATAATTCATTTTGCTGTTGTAAATTGGAGTGTAAATGTTTATTGCAGATAAAAGTTATGAAGTTATACACTCGTGCTAGCAGGATTGCAGACTCTTGTTTAAAGCAGGAACAAGTGAAAATCTGCCAGTGAACCACAGTTTATGTTTCTAATTGTCTTTGCTTGTGCTGCTGAGTCCTGTTTACCCTTCCCAGAGATAAAGGGAATGAGGTAGTTGGGTTTTTTTATCTGAGAAACGAGGCTTAGTGGGTTTTGTTATTTTTTTACTCCCTCTTACTGGGAGAGGGAACTCCTGGAAATCAAAATCAGGACAAGGAAAGGGTCAGGCCCTGGTTGGTGTAATCAATTTTCACCAGGTCAGGCACTCTTTCTGGAAACCTCTCCATCCAAGCAGTTGATACTTTGAAAAATGATGGGCTCTGTTTCCTAAACTTCAGTGGAGCATTAAATGTCTGGGCTGCTTTCTACCTTTGAAGTGGTGGAGTTTGTTAATTGCATGAGTGATGTAGCTCATGGATTCACTCATTTTTGTGTCCATGCTTTCACTGAGCCCAAAGTGCTATTTCCCTTATGTAGGGCTGCCAGACCAGATCTACAGTCACTGAAACATTAAAAATCATAGTGCCTGGGATTGTTCTCCTTTTGCTCCAAAAACCCTGGGACGAGCTGTGCCCTTCCTGAGGCTGTGTCTTGAGGAAATCCCAAACACCTGAGAGTACCTGTGACAACTGCATTGACTCTGAGTGGAACAAAAACACTTGAAAGAGAAGACTGGGGAGAACAGAGGAGATAAAGCAGGTCACTGCTCTACAGAAACCACTGGGTTTTGTTATAGAGTCCCTCGTAGAGACAGCCCCAGAGTTCTATTGAAAGAAGCTTCTTGGTTTCACTGTGTAAAAACCCCTCCCATGCTGCAAAAATCCTTTGATGTCAGTGCCATACCCATAAATACACAGCTACAGGAGAACTGATTTGCACTCCTTTTTCACCTCTTTACTGAGTGAGGCCATGCAGGACAAGCAAGCAGAATTTGGGTTCAAAACAGTAAATGGTAGACTGCTAACACTGAGTCTAATAAATGCTTCATTGGATGGAAGAAGGCTTTGAGTGTGTGGGTGATAAAGTCATGGTTTGCTCAGTGGAGGGGCTGGAGGTTTTTCCTGTTCTGACACTGGGGGATGTTCTGTGCCCTCCAGGTGAAGGAAATCCTGACAGCCCTTGGTTTGCTGGCCTGTGCCAACACCAGGACTGGGAGCCTCTCAGGAGGCCAGAGGAAGCGCCTCGCCATCGCTCTGGAGCTGGTGAACAACCCTCCTGTCATGTTCTTCGATGAACCAACCAGGTACTTCAGGGCCAGAAACCAAACACAGGCAAATAAATACAGCTTTGCATAGTAGAACAGAGCTGCAGAAAAGCTATTCACCTCTAAATCCTTGGAAAAGTTGCTCCTCTTGTGTTGCCTGCCAAGCACTGAATAAGGCCAAGAAATAATTTGATTTGGACTCTTCGTGCCTTGGGTCACTGCTGCAACTGTTGGACTGTGGGGCTGTAAGCAATATTTAAAGCATTCACAAACTGCAGGAGGAAGGAAAAGAGAGAGGAAAATATTGTGGCATTGATTTTATTTTTCGAGCAAAGACTGCTTGAATATAAACATTTTAAAATGTGACTTTTGGTAATGAATGTCATCAGTCTGGGAGGAGGCTGGCAAAGCTATGAATATGCATCTATTCATTAAAGTTGGGAGCATTTAAATCTGCAGCCCTAAAATGTAGAAGTCCCTTAAGGCAGCTTTGAGAATACTCTTTTTCATTCTCAGGCATGATTCCAACTTAATTAAAAGCCTGATGGAGAAGTACAAGCATAAGGTTGGCATATGATAAAATGAAACTGCTACAGAGAAAATTTGTGAAAGGATAATAATGGGATACCACGTATGAAACCATGTGCTGGTTTTGAGTGGTGCCTGTTTGGTTGCCAAACAAACTTGTCTGGTTTTTTTCCAGTGGCTTGGACAGTGCATCATGTTTTCAGGTGGTCTCTCTGATGAAGGCTTTGGCCCAGGGTGGCAGATCCATCATCTGCACAATTCACCAGCCCAGTGCAAAACTGTTTGAGCTCTTTGACCAGGTATTGCTCTCAGACTTTCTCTTCATGTGTAGTTCAGGGTGGTTATGCTTTCAAGGCTACGCTCTTTAATAAAAAAACATGAATAATTCTAGTTGATGGCTGCAAATCATATAAAGAAATAAATAACAGCAAAATACACTTATTTATTATGTTTTTTTCCTTCTTCTCTGCCTCTTTCCTTTATTTATGTGTAATGTTTGTGAAGAATCTTGCTGTTAGGTTTGTGAAATCACATTTATTGCACTGGTGATTATCATGCCTTCACCCAGCACTGCTCCTGTGCACAGGACTGTCACTGAAGTAAATTAGAGCAATATAAAAGCAGGAGAGCTGCAGTGTCAATGTCTGCAGTATATCTGTGTATCCTAGATACACAGGTGTTGATTGAGAAGAGTTAATTCACATGAAATAACAATAATACTCAAATTTAGCATTTAAAATGAATTGAAATTAAGTCAGTTGGAGAACTTCTCTCCAAGGTAACAATGGCATGTGGTCCATGTCTGTTTAGATTAGATAAAAAAATATATTTTAATCTTGTTAGAGGATTTAGATTAGTCCTGTGGAGCTGAGAGAAAACCTCCACCACCACAGGTGAACAAACTCTTGCAGATTGCCAGTCTGGCAGGGAGGTTTATTTAAAGTCAAAATTGTAGCTAAAAGTGAGAGTGATTGAGCTGTTTGCTGTTGCTGTGCTGTTCCAGCTCTCCTTCCATCCCTGCACTCACCAGCCTCCCAGCCCAAAATATCCATAATGTGTGGAAATTGGATGGCTTGGCTCTCCAGCTCCTTGCCTATTTTCAGCATGTGCCAAAGGCTGGAATTAGTGTAACATTTCTGTGTTAATGTGTTTGAAGTCCTGCAGGCAATGTGTGCAGAATTCCAGCTCCAGCCTTTAAATTTTCCATTAGTTGTGATTCCCTGCAAAGTTAATTTCAAGTGGTGACAGATTTTCCCAAGGTGTTCTTCCCACAGGGACAAGGAGATGTTGTTAGGCAACAGGTTCAAATATTTTGATGCTATTTCACATATTTTTCTTATTTCTTTTCCTTCTATTTTATTTTCCCCCTTTTCTTCTTGTTTTCCAGCTCTATGTTCTAAGTCAAGGTCAGTGCATTTACCGTGGGAAGGTGACAAACCTTGTCCCTTACTTGAGAGATTTGGGGTTGAATTGTCCAACCTACCACAACCCAGCAGATTTTGGTAAGGACATCTTGAATAATTTATTTAATTTCTTTTGTATTTTATAATTTTATCACCTTCAGGGTAAGGAAAACTGTGGTGTGTTGATACTTCTGTACATATATTCTTATGTGCTTTGTCTATATATGAACCAAAATTCAAAATAAAAGTTATCAGATTTTTTTCCCAAAGTAATTTGAATGCCACCTAGTGGTACAATTTAGTGAATATTTCTCTCCGTTAGAAGTCCAGGTTCATGAAATGAAAGATAAAGTGTATTCTTTAGTGTTTAATAGTAACTAGTTTTAGTGACTTTTTGAAGTGGCTACAGTGTTGTGCTTGTTTTCTTTTTATCTTGAACAGTACCACTGTGGCACTGTACAGGTTAGAGCACTGAAGTTTTTTTCTGTGCTGTTTCTTAACTAAAAAAAAAAAAAAAATGGAAAGTGCCACAAAAATAGACTTTTGTCTATTTTCTATATTCACCACCTTGCCTTTGAACTGGTTCATTTAACTTCCGGGACGAAGAGATCTCTCTGAAGATTTATGGAAAGATGCATTTAAATGTTGTTTGTGCAGAGATAGGAACTTGCAGGTGGCATTTCAAATGTTGTTTGTGTAGAGGTAGGAATTGGCGGGTGACAGATTTTGTCAGTGCTGCAGCATCAGGGGCACAACAAGGCTTGTACCTGGTCAGCAGCAACTTAAACCTTTGCAAAGCAGCAACTTAAACCTTTGCAAAGCAGCAACTTAAACCTTTGCAAAGCAGTCACTTCAATTTCTGTTTTTGCAGTAATGGAAGTGGCCTCGGGTGAGTACGGGGACCAGAACAGCCGCCTGGTCAGGGCTGTGAGAGAGAGGATTTGTGACACAGACTACAAGAGAGACGTGGCTGGGGAGCACGAGCTGAACCCCTTCCTCTGGCACCGGCCCTCTGAAGAGGTATTTTGTACATCTCAGCCCAGAGGGCTGCAGGGACAGGGAGGGAATTGAAATCCTCTGTCAGTGGAGGAGTCTCTGGGCACACTCAGCTTTTGTGAATGAAAACCAAAGCAGATAGTGCAAAGGAAGGAGTTGATTCTCTGTGTGTTTCTGCAGGATTCCTCCTCCACAGAAGGATGCCACAGCTTCTCTGCCAGCTGCCTAACCCAGTTCTGCATCCTCTTCAAAAGAACTTTCCTCACCATCATGAGGGACTCGGTAAGAATGGCTTTATCTGACTTTTGTGGCCAAAAGGTCTGTTCAGCTGGGTGTGAGGCACTGCAATACATCCATGAATTATCACAGCATTTCAAAGGGAAGAGGCTGATCTTTCAGTCTTGCTGTTAGCTCTACCATCTTCATTTTGAACGACAGCTTCCTGCAAAACACTCAGAACCACCTGGCCTAAAAACCCAAAGTTTAAATCCCCTCTGTGCTGGCAGGTCCCTTATGCAGTTATTAATCCTACTGAAACGTGAGTGGGAAGTTGTAGTGCTGTTTCACAAAATTAGGTTTTCCAGAAAATTCAGGATGACAGACATCATAATTTCAGTGTGATGTAAAATTTCTACTTAAAGTCTTCATTTTTGGAAGTAGAAAATTGATAGATAAAACATTTGCTTCTTTGCCATAACTTGTTCTCCCTTCCTGCTTTTTATAAATGCATTTGTCAACAAGGATTAATTAAGTTAATGAATTAAGATCAGGAGAAACTGCAACTGATTTGCAGATACATAGATTGAAGGACAATGTTGTTTTTAATATATATTTTTACTACTCGACTCTAAAGGCTTGCAGTTGTTCCCAATGTTATTATTTCTTTTGTTCTTCCAAGCCTCTTGTGGGAATACTGTGTTGCAGAGAAGGCACAGAAAGCTAATTTATTCCTGATGAAGTTACTTCAGTCTACATAGCCTGAAATACCTTTTCTGCTTCTCTTCTGATCTGGGGAAATTTACCTTTTAGTCAGAAAGACTCTTTCCCCTGATGAGTAAGAGCCAGTGGCTCCATGGTATTGTCAGACATTGAGATTTCAGGCTGCAGCATTTGCAGTTCCTGCCTGTGTTACCTGAAAGAAATTTTCGTGGGAAGCTCATAATTCTTCTTACCCAGCAGGAAATTTACATTTCTCATGGCAGGGCATTGGAACTTGGTGATCTTTAAGGCCCCTTCCAACCCAAACCACTCC